CGGGGGGTCAGGGGGCTGCCGCAGCACGGTGGGTCAGGGGGCTGCCGCAGCACGGTGGGTCAGGGGGCTGCGGCGGGGAGGGGCGGGAGCCTGCCCGGCTCAGCCGGCGGCTGAACGCTTCCCGTCCCGCAGGGTGAGATCGCGGTGTCCTGGAGACCCTCGGCGGAGTTCGCTGGCAATCTGTGAGTACGGCTCGTTCCCGGGGCGCGGGGTCCTGCCTGCGGTGCTGCCGGGGCCGGGCAGGGTAGAGCAGCGCGGTTCGCTTTCCTTTCGTCCCCGCAGGTACAAGGGAGAGGGCATCCTGCCCGCCAGCCCGCAGAATGTCTGGGAGTACATAAAGCCGGTGGCCGGCGGGCTCCGGACCAAGTGGGACCAAAACGTGAAGGACTTCGAGGTCATCGAAGCCATCAGTGATGTAAGTTCCTTAAAAACTGTTCCGGCGAAATTTATGCAGCGTCGGGCCTTATGAGACAGCCAATGGTATGTGCAGGGAGGTAGCAAGTCTTAAGTTGTGCTGTGTTTCTGGCTGGATCAGCTGAACGATGCTGGAAAAAATTACCTTTTTGCCTTTGTTTTTTGTTTTTTTCTTTATCCTTTTCCATAAATTTTACACATTTTATTAGCATATATATGTATATAGAAAATAGCTCATCTTTCTGAAAGGAAAGGAAAATCATTTGTGGCTAAATACTGTGTACTTAAAATCTGCAAATGTGTAACATATATATAGGTATAACAGTAAATATATAACGTTAAAGATTCCTGCACAATGATGTTGTTAATGCTGCAAATCAAGCTAAGCACGATTGTTTTTAGCAAGCTCGCTGTGAGGGAAGAGGAGGTTCAGAGAGTACATAGACTTAGCTAAGCAGTGAAGCATTCACGTCATCAGCCATCAATTCAGGCCCCATCCATCTTTCACCATGGCAGCAGTGACACTGCCCTGCACATCACACCCTGCCTCAGCAACCAGTGGTTTGCATCTTTTGTTAAAATGGAGATGCTGCACTTTTGAGCAGACAGATGAGCAGGGCTGTTTATGAGCAGCAGCTTCTACTGTCACACTTGCACAATCTAATTCCTTTTTTTTTAAAGCGTGTTGGAAAATTAAAAGGGCATTGAGTATAGATCCCCAGTCTGAAGTGGTTGTATGCGCTGGGAGACAGCCAGGTGCAAGGACAACTAGTCCCAGAAATGTTTTTGGAAGTTCCAGGAAGTTTATTTTTCTTGGAGGAATCCTATAGGCTTTAGTATTCATTATAGACAACTTCAGGAATGCTGCAGCCTGCCACTTGAAATTCACAGACTTGCCAGCACCTACCAGTGTGGTAGAAACTTGTTTTGGGAGCCAGTCAGGGAAGCAGATGATAGCGTTAATGTTTGTGTAGTGTAGCAGGCCGGGTTATCAGATTGTATCCTGTGTACACTTCACGAAGTTTTCTTTGCTAGTGTCCTGGGGAGGACGAGGGTTTTAACTGACCTGGGAGCACAGATGTGCCAGATTTGCATTTCAGCATCCCTTGTGGTATCTGTCCCCTCTGAAAACACTTTGTCACTCTGGCTTTTTCCTGCCCTTGATTGATTGATTGTGGTATTGCCTTTTGACTGTGCTGATTTACATCTGGTTCAACAAAGGATGTAGAACAACTCCTTGATGGAGTTTAGAAAGTATAACTAAGAGTGCCAGAAAGTAAAGGGATTTTTCTGCTGTACTTTTGAGAACATCAACTGACATAACTCTGTTCTATGATTTCCAGACGGTGTCTGTATGCAGAACCACAACCCCTTCAGCCTGCATGAGGATTATTTCACCAAGGGAATTTGTGGATGTAGTAGTAATCAAGGAATATGAAGATGGGACAATGCTGTCTGCTGGTAAGGCACTTGTATTCTGAACAGCTTCATGCTATATTTGGAGATAACCAACGACTACTGGAAACATCTATAAAATAAAAGTTACCAGAAATAAACATATAATTAAAACTAAGTAATAAGCTGTTCAGTAGTTGACCTCATCTTGATCAGAAGAGAAAATAGTAATCTCTCTACATTGTTGTTCCTAGAGTATGTAAATTATCTTAACACTCAGATAATGATAAGACTGGCCTATGGTTTTTTCCCTTGCTATGCTTTTGAGAATGAATAAGTATTTAATTTACTTTGTTAAATTCTGGGGTATTTTGAGTGTGTTTCTTTGTTGTTTTATGAGTTTACAGAACTTTCTAAAAGGAGTCCCATTTAGACTAAATACTGTTTGAGCATTTTCTGCACAGGTTTCAGTGAAGCCATTGAATAAATGTACCAGTCCTGTTTGTGAAAATAGTTGGTTTCATGAAAACAAATAGTGCTGATTTTCAAGGGGCTACCACCGTACAGAAGGATGTTAATTTGTTTTTTCACTTTCATTCTGTTTAACTGTTACAAGTCTGAACTTTTATTGCTCCATTATTCATGTGTCCCATTTTCCCATCCTGTTCAGAAAAGCCTTGTCAGGAGTTTATATTCTTGCTTGAGTGCAGCTTTTCAGCAGGGAAGTGATGTATCTGTGTGAGGTGAATTTGTTGGAAATAACCCAAATGACCTCTCAAGAAAAGCAGTGCCCTCAGGCAACATGGGTTCGATGAAACTGTGTCAAAGTGTCCAGGCTTCCTCCTTCAGAGCTCAGTAACAATTTCTTATAAATTCAGTACTTCTTTGATTTCCCCATTCTAAGGCCAGAGTAGTTCCTTTTAATGGTCTTTTCTGACCACTTGTCAGCCACACACTGAACAGGTTGTACTGCAGTTCTTTTTCAATACATTTTGTATAGTGAGTTTGCTTCCCATGTGGAGCTTTGCATACCAAGAAATCTTTGAAATCCAAGAAATCCAAGAATGACACCTTCCTTCAATGCTTTTTCTTTCAGCCACCAACGTGGAACACCCCCTGTGTCCTCCTCAATCAAATTTTGTGAGAGGTTTTAATTATCCCTGTGGCTGTTTCTGCATACCTGTTCCAGGGTAAGAAACAACCTGCTTGAATGTTTTAAATTCTGAAGCTCCTCTTCTCCATTGTGTGGTGTGTTTATGTGTGTGTGGCCACATGTGACCTGTAAGCTCTTGGCAATGGCAGTGTCTTCCCAGTAACTGTTATAACTGAGTGCCCTTTCTGTTCTCATTTTTGTGCAATGAATTAGTTTCTCTCCATTTCCTAGAGGTAAGTTTTTAATGTTACAGGAACTGTTATCGTGACTTCTTGAGCAGAGATTCAGCAGAATGCACAAGCATGGTCTTAAGTTTTGGTGAATGAGTATCTGGTTGATTTGCCATAATTTATGGATGGAGTCATGTAGCTAATTAGGGCATACGTAAACTTTAATTTTGTAGTGACATTCACTGAAATTTGTTTGTTTGTTTAAAAAAAGAAAAGCTTTTGGAAGTATCTATTCTAATACAAGTAAGAGTCACTGAAAAGTTCTTAATGCTTTAAACCATGGGCTATAAAATCACTTTTATTGTCTTTGCAGGGAGCCAGACAAGACTGAGCTCCTCACTTTCTTCCAGACGGATCTTGGTGGCTATCTTCCCCAGACAGTGGTGGATTCCTTTTTTCCATCTAGTATATCTGGATTTTACAGCAACCTGACCAAAGCTCTTAAGGCATTAAAAGCATGACAGGACAAGTTGCTGACATCTCCAGCTGAGGGTAGGAAACAACCTGTCAGCTTGTGGGTAAAAAATACAAAGTTGGCCTCAGGACTCTTCTATCAGCTAAGATACTTAAGAAAGGAGATATGAAACAATGAACTGAGTACAGTACATTTTAAAACAGCGTTTTCTACCTGACTCCATGCAGAACAATGCAGTCTTATGTAATATTAAATTCTTCACTTCACTGATTAGAAAATTACCACACCAGAGGCTGGAAGAATCCTGGAGGCAGCAGTGGTGACTGTCTGCAGGGAGAAGACGGACATGCTGGATCTATTCTTTGTCAGTGTGTGTGAGGAGAAGCATTGCTCAAATCTACTTAGCACCACAGCCAGGTGCAGGTCAGCTCTGTTTGGTCTCTGAAGCTCCCTGTAGATTTGTGGAAAAATGCTTCTCTCCCAAAAGATGTATCCCTCCTGCTGCTAGCACTCCTAGAGCTGCTAAGATGCCTCAGTGGGTCCAGCCAGCAAATTGTGAACGCCAGAAAAAATGGGATTATGTAGAGGATTTCACTTGTTTGTTCCAGCAGACATCAATATTGATGGTAAATATGCCTTAAGTGCTTTTTTGTAAGTCAAGGTCCAGCAGTGCTAATCATGTGGGCTGGCAAATAGACATTCTCCCTTTCCCCTCTCTGCTACCAAAACCAGTGGTTTCATAGTGTCACGACACAAACTGAACTGACATAGAGGCAATAAATAAAGAGGATTAGGCACTTTACTTACCAGTTTTTAAAAGGCACATGAAATGACCATTTTGAACCGTATTTGAATGTTTTTTGGTTTCCTGTGGTGAGAGGTTTTAACGGGTAAATAATCTTTTCATTAGCTTTGCCTTGACAGGCCATAAGGAGGTTGCTTTTTTCTTAGACTGGTTTGCCTCCCAACATTACATTGGGAAATCAGCACCTGACTGTGTGCCAAGGTGTGTCCATTTGAAGAGATATCTATGGTGCTGGTTGCTGCAGGAATGTTACCATTACTATGGATTGCATATGATTACAAAAGTAAAAATAGTTTTTGAGTGAGGAAGTTAAATTAAGGTTGTGCTTTTACTGTGGTGACTCGATTATTTAACAAGGTTAATATGCTCTGCTTTCTGTCCCTGTATTTTTTTATCTTTGGTATAGGGCATGGACTTGCACAATAAATTTCCCACTGTAAACCTCATCCTATGGACCAGTTTTTCAAGGGAACAGTTTTTAGTCCAGTCTCCTTTGTATACAAAGATGTAAAAACTTGTGTGAGTGTGGTGAAATAAATATTTTGTGTGCTATATCTTACTGTTTTTCCTGAATCATCCTTTGAAATGGTTCCTCGTACACCTGTTCCGCCATCAGGGAAGACAAAGAGCTGCTTAGAGCTCCAGCATTTCTCTGAATTTAAAGCAAAGAGAGGGAAAAAGCCTTCCCTGATGATGTCCACTGCCTAAGGAAGAGGTGTTTTGGTGAGAACACTCACCCTCAAGGTTTTTTGCCCTTGTTTGGTATTTACTTCCAGTTGCTGCTGTCTATACTTAGGAAGAATAACAAGTTCACTGAGAAGAGATGCGGGCCTTGATACTACGGAGGCTTATACATATTTTTGTAAATGTACTGAGGTTGTTAGGCATGCATTCTAATATCTTGGCAAGTCCTGTCAGTATTATCATGAATTTAATTAGCAGAAAGTTCAAGAAGCACAGCTGAGGTTGCCACTCATTATTTCTGCAAATAATGCAAATTATTTTTGGAGATAATGTGTCTTCTTATTAGCTATTCATAATTTTTTTTATTGCTTTGAGCAATGAAGGTGATAAGACACTTCACTGGAATAACTTAAGATCACCTTTTCTGAGTGCACAACACCTTCTAGCCAGGAATTAAGAGCCTACATTCAGCCTTCTGCCCTGCCAAATTTGAGTTGGAAATGTTTTGGCAAAGTTTTTTATGTAGGTACCAGTTCAAAAAAGTATAGGAAGATTTTCTCACATATTTCTCTTATTGATACCCAACTAATAAAATTTTTGTTTTGAGATAGAGGTTATTTTTTGGGAAAGAGAGCTCAGCTGAGGAAGTGCGGGGACAGATGGCTTGTCAAGAATGTTCTTTCAAGGATTAATTTACAGTTTTCTTGCAAGAAAAGGCCACAGCAAGTTCAATGCCTGGATTTAATTAATATCTTCTCCTGCCTATTATCCTTCCTTTTCTCTTAATTGCTGTTTTTGAGGCATTGTGTTGGATGTATGGAAAACAGCTCCTGAGCTCCTTCATTTCTTCCTGGTGAAATTAGGTAACTGAAGGAGGGACAGAAAATTCCCATCTCTGGGAAGGTGAAGAGCCAAGGACAATAACCAGGCCAGCCATCTGGCTCTCAGCTAGAGAGCCATCCTGCCCTTGCATCTCTCTCTTTAATGAAGCAGGTCAAAGACCAAGTGGGTATATGAGATCATTTTGCCACAGTTGCTTGTGCTGCTGGTAGAATTCCATACAGTGCATATAGGAGGCAGTGTTTGAAGCATAGATTTGTCTCCAACTTATTTAGCCTTTCCAGAATAAACAGTTCAGAAGTACTTAGATGCACAATTAGTCCTGCTGGTACTTTGCCTGGCAAAGTTAACACAGATGTTTGAAACAAAAAGTGTTGTTAGAAGGTAAGATTTTTGTTCTGAGCAGCCTTGTTATTCTCTTGCTGTAGTCCTCTTGAGACCTCTGGCCAGAGAAGGGTTAGGAAAAGTTCCACTACGTTACCCTCAGCTTCCTGCCTTCCCGTTGCAGTACCATGAGAACTCTCTTCCACCCTGTGTTTGCCTGCTGCAGTTGAGATGGCTCTGTCAGCTGCCAGTAGAAAGTAACTTTTACAGGTTTTGGCTTTCCTGAGTGTTCTGTGTTTTTAACAGGAAAGCTGGAATTTTCTAGGGAATGTTTTGACACACAAAACTGCAGCCCCTTTCTCTGCCCTACCCATTCTCTAAAGGCAATGTTTAGTTATAGGCTCGTAGACACGTTTCTTGTTGCTGGGAAGATAAGGGAGAGAACAGGACTTGGAGAGTAGCACTGAAAATTTAGCACAGGATCTGCTTCTGATACTTGTTAAGTTAATAACTTTAAATAGGAGAGTACTATAGCTGTCATGTATTTTATTACAACCAGTATAGTATTAACAAAGTCATTATTTTATAATTATATGCTTTGTAACATCTGTTTCAGAAGACTGAAATAAGAATATTTTTAGTTAATCCCAGACAGTTTTCTCTGTAACTGGCAGTAAGTTCCAGTGTACTCCTCATGGGTACTTTCTGAGTATATTACTGTACCAGCCAAGTGTCTGCAAGTAATAAAATCCTTTGTTTGAATATTGGCAGTAGTCTAATCCCTCCTCTTACAAAGTTTCAGATGACTTGCTGGTAACAGAGCTACGATTCTTCCTCTTGATGATGGCTGTGATGGGCCCATCAGGTAATGCCTTGATTACATTCCATGCCTCGAAACGAGTGAGTCCTTGCATGGCACTTGTGTGCACTTGTAGGAGCTCATCACCAGGCTGAACAGGGCTGCTCTGTTCCAGTGCAGTCCCTGGGGACAGGAAAAGAATTTCTTTTAATTCTTTCCATGGAAGAAACTTTAATGGATCCTTCATTTACTAGTGAATGGATCATCAGCATGTTATAAACCACCTCATCCCAGCAGGCAGCAAATTACTGGCACCAAACAATATAATGCTGCATTTGAAAAAATAACATTTCCATAGTTATAAATCAGCATTCAGTTATGAACCCAAGTCTGCCTGAGTTGGGAACATGTTAAGTGTGTTTACCTTTAAATATCCTGTTGATCATGATGGGTTTATCTCCCTGAATAGAGCCTTTGCCTCCTTCCAGACTGAATCCTAAACCTGCAGATGTTTTTTCTAGAGTTACAGTGCAGATTGTATCTCCAGTGGCTGCAAACAAATGGAAAGTTACCACATGGACAGCACACAGTCTAAAAAGCTCAAACATCTGTTACAAAATATTAACTTTTGGATTGTTTGCAAAGGTCTTATAAACTGCCAAATGAAAGAGAAAATGAAAGCTTTTAATTTCTCATTTTCTCATATAAGGCCCTCTGGGAAGCTGGGGAAAGTTATGTTTGAATTAATGGGAGGATGGAAACGTAAGACATTTATTGGAATTCCAAAAATCTGTTAAATTAACAAAATCTAAGGGAAATACATAACTTTGTATTAGTTATGAAGTTGTTGTTGACTACAAGGCTGCTAATTTGCAGTATGAAAATAAAGCTACAGATCTCCAAATCATGCTTTAGAAAAAAACCCAAAACCAAACCAAAACACCAAACAATTCTGAAAGTGAAATATTCTGCAAAACTCGAACCTTGCTGTGTTTCTGATGTAGCCACCTGCTATATCAAACAACAGCACATTGTTTGTTCAAACTGGAATTCTCTTTCATGGAGAACAAGTCATATAACAATATTAGAATAAAGAATCACTGTTCACTGAGCAGTCATTATACCTTCAATTAGATGTGTTGCTACAATAACCGTCTTTGTACATCTACAGAAATTCATATGAAGAATTACACTTGCTTGGGTTTTTTAAGGAGTTAGAAATCCATTGATTTTTTTTTCCCTTTTCAATAATGGTATTTCAAATATTTCAGTGTTTATTTCAGGAATGTTTTATTAACTGTGCTGTCTTTAATCAGGGTTCACAGTTTATGCAGCCACTTCTGGTTTTATGAACACCTAGATTTCAGGTGATGAGAAAACACTTATCAGGTGGGGGCTGCAAGATAATGCCAGTAAACTTACCAGACTCTTGTGAGGCATTGCTTGCTACTGATGATGTACTAGAACTGATTGAAACATTGAGATTTTTTTCTCCATCTTTGGATTTTCTGGTGACAACCACAGCTTGTCTGGGTTGCCGGGCCTGTCGCATGATTGCTGAGGCATCACTGTGAGTTGCACCTTTCAGAGACTTCCCATTAATGGAGAGTACTTCATCTCCTTTCTGAATAGTTCCTTCCTGACAGGCCAGTCCATTGGGAAATACTTTGTGAACCTATTGAAGAGCCCAGTCACCACACACACACAAGGGAAGAGAAAACAAGGACAAGTCACTAAATCCCTTAGTTAACAGTTTACACCATGTGCATTTTGCATTCTTTGCTTCTATCACATTTCAGGATGGAGGACTGAATAAATTTGCATGGAGAAGTTTTCCTGTGCACATCCCTCCTCAAGCAGCCAGGGAAGCAGTTTGGCTGTAGTACAGCCGTGCTGCTCGTGCTGTGTATCTTGCATATTCTACTTCCTGACCCTCTTGCTGCTCTGCTTGTGAGAGGAAGGAGGTGTGAGACCTATCTCTAACTTCCAGTCCCCTGATATGTTTTCACCCACCCTGTTCCTCCAGACCATCCTGCATGGCATTCTGTAAGCACGTGAGTAAGGTGTTGTTATTTCCTGCCGAGGGCTGTGTGTTCTGCCTCAGCTTTCAGATCTGTTGGGGAAGGAGGTGCAGAAGGAACTAGTTTTCACCCTTATGGTCCTTCCAACCCTATCAGTACAGCTGCCTGCTTTGATTATCTAAAAGCCAAAAACTGTAATAGAAAATCAGTAAGGTATGTATTTTTAGATAGAACATTGATTTGGGAGTATTTTTTAAGATGCTACTTACTGTTACCACTTTGTTTTCTAGATCAATGCCTCCTGCCAGGCTGAATCCAAGCCCAGTATCTTCTTCTTTATGCAAAACTGTAACATGAATGTCATCAAATTCCTAGGCAGAGAAAGGAATAAAGTCAAAAACTTCCCAAAAGATACGGCACAATGATTGGAAAATCTGTTGTGCATTTTTTTAATGAGACTTAGTGGTATAAGCAAAATATAAGGTTGCAAAGATAAATTAGACACATTCACTCTACAGCTTTCTGAAACTCATGAAAAAAGCAGGTTTACCTTTAAGGTTTCTTCATCTAGAGCTTTGACTTCCTCTATAAGCTTTGCCAGCTCCTCAGGGGAAAGCAGAGAGATGACTGACTGCCCTGACACACCGGATGCTTGAGGTGAGCCCTGTTGCTGTTTGTCTTCCTCCTTCCCTTTGTCTGCAAGGCTCACTGTGTATTCTCTCAGCTCTGAGAGGCTGTCCCATTGTGACAAGAACAAAAAAGAAACATTGAGCTATGAGAGAACATACCCACTAAGTAAAAGGCAATTTTGGAGCAGTCACCTTTTCATTTTATTAGCATGTAATTTGGTGGTAACTCCTACAACTATTATAATGGAAAATATATTTAAAAATATATAATGGCAAATGGAAATTAATTGTGTTAACTTAAAGGAAGTGGAATCCATTGCATAAAAGAATAAGAATAATCTCATGGCCTCAGGCAAAGACACTTAAATCTGCTTTATCGTGGAGATACTAGAAATAATGCTGGAGGAGCATGTTTGAAATATGCATGTATGTACATAATTCAAATTAGGAGCAAAATTAAGTCATGGGTCCTTTAACCTTGATGCTCTCAAAAGTTCTTAACTTAATCTGTGCTTTACTTCTATAAGTGTGCTGCTACCTTAGAACTTTAATCTGTCAGTGAATCAGTAAACCTGTAAATCTGAGTTTTAAACATGGTATCTTACTTTAGGGAAAACCCAGTGTCCAGGTGATGATTCTCACTTGCAGGTGAGATGGAAGCCCCATCCTCCTCCATGGAGGACTGAGACACTGTGTCCAGAGTTTCCCATGCACTGTTTCCAGAAGAGGCTTGGGACTGAGGAAGGCAAAGCAATGATTTCATTAAAGCAGATGACACCTGGCTGCTGATGGAATAGATTTTGTTACACTTCTCATCACACGGCTTCATTATCTCACAAGCCTGGGCTGCAGAAAGAGGGAAGCTTCGTGACCTTAGGCTGTGTGCTTTTGCTACCGACACAAGATGGGAGTTTGCAGTGGCTCCTGGAGTTAAGAGGCTTGATGAATTTTCAGTGCTGGCATTGCTGCTTTTCTCTGAGCTGGCTGCAATACCCTCCCTGCGAGAGGAAGCTCTATCCAGGCTCTTTGTAGCCACAGGCACAGGTGGCTGTTGGTGGCTGTTTTCACAATGGTGGAGGAAGGGTTGATTTGAACACACTGGAGCTGCCTCTGCCCCTGCTGCAGTGGGAGAAGGTTCTTTCTGCACCGATGGTTTTAGGCTCAACCTTCGGGGGGCTTTTTCAGGTGACTGTGGAGCATTCAAGGATTCAAATGAGCTTATTCTTTGTTTTATTGATGATCCCCCAGGAGACACACGCGATAAGTTGGATGGCAGTTTTTTGCTGGAAATACTGTCATGGTTGGGAGGACTTTGATCTGCCTGTGGTTTTAGATCTGAATTTGCTTTCCTCAGTCCTTTCAGACTTTGGCGGAACCAGGTGGGCTTAGGTGCAACAGGAGGACCCTTTTTCACAGTGTCATTTTCATCTGATTTTAGAACTTTGGAACCAGCTAATTCTGATTCTGATTTCTTCAGAACTGTCTCTGTGCTGCTTCGATTTTGATTCTCTTTTTTTTTGTCTTTGCCAGGTTGTAAATCCAAGTGGACGTTGTTTTCACTCATGGTAGGATTAAATAAGCTTTTTATGCAGTCAGAAATTTTAACCCAGGGGTCTTCTGTTGTATCAAGACTATAATCTACCCGTGCTTGTCTTTTAAGTACAGGTCTTTGTACTGCTGAAAGTGGAGTCCCTGTAATAAAGAGACATCGATTATAAACAACCATCTGTCTGCTTCTCCATCCCTTCTTGCTGCATCATTACTAATTCATTAAGCTTGAATTTCATTCAAGCCTCTGATAGATTTTTTTTTTAAGTTTTTAGAAAGTTTAAACTTTTTAAAAATTCATAACTCTTGATCTCTAAATTCTTAATCCAGACATTGAAATTAAATGGAAAAACAAGGCTCCTGTACACTTAAATACAAGATTGCTTTTTTTAAAGGTTTATAAATACTGAAATTCTGGGATGCTGAAATCTTGATACAGGCTGTAACAGCTAAAAGAGAAAGTTAAAACTGCAATGTTTGCAGACTGGAGAAAAAGCTGGTGGTACGGTAAATTATTTTTAAAAACAATTTTATTTTCTACATTTATAAGTATATCCTACTCTAAAAAGACTATCATAGGAAGATCTTCGATATTTATGCTTCCTCAAATTTCCCCAGGCATTTCCAGTTGATTTTTCTGGTAAGTAAATACTTGATTCTAATATGGGAATATTTTTTCCTTCACAGATCAATTAAGAATTTTAATGTTAGACATGGTTAGGCTGAATGGCAGCAAACTTCTGTTTGTGCAAACAGGTACTGTTTTCTGCTTCAGTGTGAACTTCTTTTTTAAGGCAACATTTTTATTTTTTTTAGTGATCTGAGCTATAACTTACAGAATTACATAAGCCTTTATGTTGTAGGAGACCTCTTGAGATTGTCTTGTTCCCTTAACACTAAGTTTCCTCAATTCTAACTAGCAAAGCAGAAAAGTAATTTGTCACTGGTTTGTGCTATTGCAACACCAGAGCCTTGAAATTGTGCATAAAAATATCCTTTAGAAGTGCTAAAAACTAAGAGCTTTAATATCAGATATTCAGTATAAATAAGCAGCTTCATCTGAAGCAAAACAGCAATATTGTACCTGTCCATTAACAATTTTTACAAGAAATCATCTCTTATTCTGCTTTTTATCTAGTTTCTCTTTTTTTACAAAGATTAATCAGTAATTTAAAAACATACAGTAAATCATCTCTTATGCTGATTTTGATCAACTTTCCCTTTCTGTACAGAGATTAATCAATAATTTGAAATTTCATCTGTTCGCCCCAAAATTTACAGTTTTGGTTTGAAGACTACATTTAAGGAGAAAGTGAAGTCCGCTCAGTACCCATTTTGGAATCCAAACTAAATACTATTTATTTAGCTGTGGAAAAAAAAAATAGTTCTTGGAGTTAAACATACCTAATTTTTCTTTTCTTTCGTGATCTCTGCCCACTGGAGCAGCAGTTGAGGGTTCCTTATCATATGCTGTAGGAGAAGTGGTGAAGACACCGTGAGTTACATCAGTTTGATGTTCCTCTAGCACTGGTTCTCCAACTTCCTGCTGAACAAACAGGAAAGAGAAGTGTGTCAGAATGCAATTATGCAAACCACACTATATATGAATCTGAAAAAAGTCTGAAAAAATATATGAATCTGGAAATAATCCAGAAACCCCATATAAAATTGTGGTACGCAGGCCTCAGACCGACCAATACAAACTTTGTGGGGAATAAAGGTTAAAAAAAAAGATTAAAAGCACTAATAAAACCTTCTCTTAATGATCTGAAATACATTCTGACAAGAAACTTTCTTTCTTGGGTACCTATAGATATATAGACTGTCTTAATGGAGGAAGTTGTCTTCCTAAACAAACCTTGATTTTTCATGGATTTTATTGACCTTAAGATTTAGTTTTTTCTCACCATTATTTAGAATTACTAAGAATAAGAAGTTTCAGGGAGTGATAAGTTCAACAAGTACTTATTTCCCTTAATTTTACTTTGGAAAGTTGATTTTCTAGCAGTGGTTTCTACTTAGGGGATGGTAAAAGTGACCTTACCTAAGATGCTTAACTGATATTTTCTTGGATAGTAACATTATATGTGGACTTCAGTTTGCTCTATATAATTTTGTATTGATCTTTGCAGCTTGGGAACTGTTTGGAGTTTTGTGGGTTTGTGGGGTTTTGTTGTTTTTTTTCTTTGCACTGAACTGAGAACAGTTCATTTCTACTGGCATATTACTAAACCTGGGGAAAGAGGTTTCAGTTTTAAACAAACCACAGTTTTGTTTCAACATGCAAATCTCACAATCCTTCACGCTCATGCAAAAGTGAAACACTCTCTGTTGCCTTAGATAAGAGAGGGAACTGAAATTTAGTAATGTACAAAAATACACTCTTTGCAAATACTGTAGCTCATCAACAAATAAGTATGTGCACTACAATTTAAATGGGTTTATTTAATACCTCCTGGTCTCAAGTAATGCATCTGAGCCCAAGATTCCCTGCTGTACATAACAGTGCTTCCAATAAAAATCCACTACAGAAACAAAGAAATTATTGTTTCATGATTACTTCATAAATGCTATGACTCTGTGGCACAGGTAGTTGGGGTCAGCCACACCAAGCTGGCATCAGAGGCTGTGTAAACCCCTCCAGTCCCAGGCTAGGGCATAACCCCAGAACCAGAGTGTGCTCGATACCACCAGTGGCACACGCTCATGAGGAGGGGCAGGGATCAGATTCGTTCTTGCAGCTGCTCTCACTGGGATTTTAACTCAGATACCTTAGTATGGAAGATTTTCTTCAGACAATACTCTGTCTTCTAACCTTACCTTGAACATAGCATTTTGTACTAAACTGCTTTCACTAAGATACACACCTTCTTTTCAAAACAGAAGAGCCTCATCTTCTTCCCCCAGTTCTCATGTGTTTCTCTTTCTTTCTTACCCTTCTTCCTGCTGCCATGCAAAGCCACTTTGCCTTCCTCCTTGCCCTGCCTCACAAATAAGCAGACACAAGAAAAATGTTGTAAATTTTACTTTACCTGAACCCTTGCAGAAGGTGATGCAGCCACTTGTGATACAAGCTTTTCTTTTTTGTCTGCATTACCCTGGTCATCACACGTGCAGTCCTGCTTGAAGTATTTCCTTGGTGGAGGTTTGGGCTTCGATGACTTAGGTTTTCTAACGAGGATCTCTGATGACTTCTTAGTACTTTGCAAGGCTCGACTGCTTTCGCTACAGGTTGGAGGGGAATTTCTCCCTGAATTATTGGCAGAGAATGAGTACAGCAGCCCAGGCTGCCGTGTGATTGGTACATCTACACTGTGTACTCTCGCTTTCAAGTCCGTGAGCTGGTGCACAGCAGCAGTGGCACATGAGGCCCGGGGGTTGTAGCTGCTGTCGCTGCTGGAGCGGGTCATGAGCCGCTCTGCCCTGCGGCTGCAGTAACCCGCGCTCCTGTCCATGTGCTTCTCACAGGGGTGCCTCCCGTGCCAGCTTGTGTCCAGCCTCTTAACACCTGGGTCAGGAACATGTTCAAAATGTCTGTTCAGTACACACAAAGTGCTCGCTTCTAGGAGTCAGCTGATGAAATCTGCAGCTAAATATCATCCACAGTGGATGTGAAGGTATGACTTATGCATTGAAGGCTTGTAGGCTCAAAAGTCAACAGCCAAGTTCCTGAACACGCAAATAACATTTTCCCTATATATAGGTATGTCAGCACTATAGTTTTACTGATGATGACTGTTACCTATTAGTCCTTTAGAAGACACTCAAAGGAGTATCATTCAATGCATTTCTGGGAGATGATGTCATACCTGAGCTGGGCTAAAAGCTCCAGCCATGACTGCATATGCCTTTCCTCACAAATAAGGGATTAACAAAGTTTACCCCTAGGACATCACCTTCATTGTGCAGTTCTTGTTGTCATAGTCTTATCATTGCTTGAAAAGCTCTAAGCAGAGCTTGTGAATTGGAGAGGATAGGCAACTGTGAGAGGAAATTCGCACAACAATTTTTGTTGGTAATCAGACAGACTTGGTCTGTTCTCATCACTCTGGTAATGTTGGAAATATATTAGGAGGGTTGTCCTGTGAGGTTTCCTCCTCTTTCTTTCTGCTCTGGGTTACTTGACTGTTTTCAAGGATTCTAGTACACCATGTACTCATCCTTGACATCTTTTAAGACAAAATCACCATGTCTCAGTGAATACATTTATTCCCTTACCTTCAGTACTCCATTGGTGTCTCTCCTTTCCAAATCTGTTGCTTTCCACAGCTTGTGCAACAGCTTCTTTTAGCTGTTGCTCAGACACCTAGGAAATATCATGCCATTTTACTCTCATGAGGTGAGTTAATTGCACACCATTATAATTGTATATATCCCAGTATATATGAGGTATATATATGGACATGCTGCTTTTAGTGGCTGTTTAGGTAAAATGGGACCTTTCAAAGATAAACATTCTTTTGCAGATTTCACTAGAAGTGGAGTCTTAGATTTACCAGTATAAGGTAACTCAATATAGCATAGTTTATGTAACAATTTAAACTTGATAATAATCTATACAGTATTTGGTGTTAGGAAGCATTTTGTAGAAAAACCTTGCAAGCATGAAACATTTTACTTCAATATTAATTTAATTATAAATATTGGCAGGGCAAGACCTAAATTTTAATTATTGAAAGACAAGTGTATAAACACTTATTTCTTTTCAGGGAGGTATGTTCCCTCTTTCAAATTATTTACTTATTGTTGTCAATTCTTTCTTACATAAGAACTATATTTTGGGTTATTCCTTAAATGTTATTTCTGTAATTTCCTTATTCGCTGCATAGAACCTCATCTAAGACTGTCACCAGCAATCTTCAAATCTTAAATGATTCTACTTTAGAGTGCATATCTCAGATTTTTTTGTGTGCAGTGATGATCATAAAGAGATCAGCATTTTTGTAGTTAACATTTTTCCACCTGTATTAGATTAGCACTTACTCCCTCTTAGTTCTCAATACATGCTATATTGAAAGTCAGAAAGAAAATGGACTGTGCTACCTGTGGTTCAGGGTGTCTGCTAATAATGATTTGTACTGCACCAGGATCACAGTGGCTTAGCACAGCATAAACTTCATTAAGGGTTGTATTTTGTACTGAAGTTTCGTTAATTTCAAGAATTTCATCTCCGCACCTAGAGAGATATTTTGGAAAAGAGAAAGGATGTAAACAAAAGAGATTTTCTCCTGACCTTGTCTCACCCATTTGAAAATATACAAAAAGCAAATTCATAAGGTTGACCTCTAATTTGCTTACAGATGTAATCTTTCTTTCTGTCCTGTTACAGAAATGGGAATGAGTTGGATGTCAAGATGTCAACTAAGATTACCTTACTCTGCTCTAGTTCTCACGCACATTAAGAGCCTGACTGAAGTCACTGATTTGTAGAGCACACGTGCTTTAAACCTCAAATTCCCAGAAATCAATATCTTTCTCTTCTTACCTGAGTCTCCCATCCATATGTGCCACTGAGCCTGGTGAGAGGGTGTGAATAAAGATCCCTGAAATACACTGGAAGTAAGGGATGCTGCATAACCCAATTCCAAGGCCAACACCTGGCTCTGAAAGAACAATAATCATTTTAAAAAGACATAAGAAACAGTCAAAGCAAACCATTGAAGAACCTTTCTAAAAATTAATTTAATTATTTTTTTCTGCACAAAGCAGAACCAAAGTCTTATGTTCATAAATGTTGCACATTCAGTATTTGTTGCTCCTTCCACTGCATTTTTCTATACCTTTTTGTTTTATTGTGGGGCTGTCATGGGAGCTTTTGTCCCTCTCATGATTAAAGTGTAACAGACAGAATGGAATGCAGGTTTATTTTGCAAACTATCTGTCATTACAGAAGAATTCAAATGACTTTACAAGGAGACAGAATAAAAAAACAAGGAGCTAAAATTAAGGATATATGGCTACTGTTAGCTATATAATTTCAGTCCTCCCTCTGTTTTATATAATACAACTTCAGACTTCTGTGAGTTTGCCCTCTTTGCTCTGGACAGTCACTGATGTCAGATCCCATACTGTGTGTTTGGGAAGTCACTGGCACCTCATAGAGGCTTTGCTTTGTTTGTTGCTTTGATGTTCCCATATTTAAAAGTGTATTTAATTGTGCCAGTGGTTGTTTATAAATAGAAGATGATGACAGTTGGAGAGGAGGTGAAAGAACTACAAGAAGCTATAGATACTTATTTTATTTGGTTTTAAGCCTTTTCAAGAGTGAAATTAACTGCTTGCATAATTATGGGTAAGAGTTGCACAGTCTGCTTAATAAGACACATTTGTTGACAAGAGCTTTACTTTTTCACATGAAGGATATGAATGTGACTCTAATGCTTGAGAGAAAAAAACTCAATGATTGGCTCTTGAGGACAGATGGTGTTCAAAATCCTGCTGTTGATAGATACTTGTTAGCACTGACAGGCATCAAGATCTAATTTAGTGTATTAAAAAAACTTAGTTCAGGGAAATAATCAGGTTAGTGAGGAAAGACATTCAGAGAGCAAATGAACAGTGGTTTTTCAGTCAATGCTTTGTTGGCAGTGTTCAGTTAATGTCAACACTCACCTTTGTTTAGGGTAACTTCCATTATGACCCTGTCATTGGGCTTTGTAGGATTTAATGAGAATGCTGCATTTTCTGAGCTGAAAGAGCTGTTTTCCTTGGTTATGCATGTGCTGGAGCCCAGTGACTGACACAAGAGGGGTGACTGACAGCTGGAAGCAGAATGAGGTGTGCTGAAGCTTGTCCTGACTGTAAGTGTCAGAAGACCCTTTTTAGCCTGCTAGGAGGAACAGACAGTGAGTGAATGGGTTGAGCTTACATGCACATTGTGTCTAAAAACAGGTTGTTCTGGAAGGAGAGTACATAACCTTGAACTTCTGTAAAGCATCATAATGTGTTAATCCATGCATGGATTCTCCATTCAATTCCAGGATTTCATCACCTGTTTTGATAGAGAAAAAATTACATTACTTATTGTTGTGCAATAAGTTACATGATAACATACATGCACTCAAAAGGACTCTTTCAAATGCAAAAATGGATGCAGGTGTAAAAGTCATGGTTCATTTCAGCTTCAATCAGTCTTTCAGTGCCATTTTTTGGGAAGTGGGAAAAGGGAGAGAAGAGGTATTTCCCACCTTCTTGTAGCCTTCCATCAGCAGCAGCAGCTCCACCAGGAAAGATGGTTTTTACGTAGATCCCTATTGGTCCATAAATGCTGTCTTTACCACCAACGATACTGAAGCCCAAACCCTAATTTATGGAAGAAAAAGTGTGTGAGAACACATGATCAGTTCTCATAATAATTCTCATTCATTTGCAGTTTCTTCTGCATTACTTACATGGGCAGTATTGTCAGTGGAGTAGTATAATGCATAAAAAAAATAGTCAAACACATTCCTGTAGTAAGAGTAAATGGGAATTTCAGTAGAATCCACTCATGTTTTGGTTTTTGTTTGTTACAATCAATTAATTCACTATTATATGCACATAGGAAGGTGTCTAAATTATTTTTTTAGTTTTTGCTTGGATATGAATTGGCAGCCCAAAAGTGGCAATATTAATACCTGCAGTCACTTCTCTGGACTTTGCAGATCACATTTGTGAGATGAAGTAAAACTCATGGTAAATCAATAGGGCCAGTCTTACCTTCCCTTGTCCTTTCATCAATACAATGTTTGAGATTACTGAAGCCTGTGAGCCACAGGATGTGTGCACTAGTTGTGCTGTACTTAGGGATCTAGATGGCCTTGAAATTGCCTGTGAACATTAAAAAAAACAACAAAACCCACCATTTTCTTTTATGCATAAGCAGAATTTTTTGAACATACATTGCAGCAAACTTGTTTATTTGAAATTTTCTTCCTTATAACTGATGATATTAAAAATTCTTTTTTTAAAAAAAAAATCTAATTTTCATAAGCCACTTGTTATTTAGAAAATCATTGCTCACTGAATTTGTCCTGTAGGGACTAAATTGGAGAAAAATTAAGATGTTTGTCATTGAAGTGGTGCAATGGTGCAAAAAAATATTTTGTGCTCTGGCTTGAGTCCCCATGCCAAAACCCCATTTGTGGTCATTAGGGGATATAAACAAGTATTATCATTTTTGCCTTCAAGAACTGAACTAGAATCAAGACATTCAAAATCTTTCCTTCATCTCGTGACTAAAAACTTTATCTTGGCAAATACCAAACCTGTTTTCAGCATTTCCCCCAAAATATGAATTTGTGCTGTATTTCCTAAATTCAGCCTCTGAGATTTGCCCCAGTTTAATGAACTTTTAATGAAATATTCAGTGAAATGTTTAATGAAAACCTCCTATTTCAACATGCAATTGGATATTACAAGATAATTTAAGCACTGACAGAAGTCATTACCCAAAGCTAACTGTGCATGAAGTTCAGCAGGGTCAGAGTTAATTGCAATCATTACACATCTGAAAGAGTTCAACACTTTTTTTTTTTTTTTTTTTTAATGCAGCAAAGTGAAACTAACAGATGTCGAAGAATGTGGAAAATCAGTGAAAATTTTGGCTTCTGCATATGCTAGAGTTTCAATTTTGACATGAAAACCAGATTATCTATTCAACATGGGATTGGGAATGGGATTAAGAGGTAAACAGGTGTGCAACATCAAAAACATAAAATGCATTCCTCCAAAATGCATTCCTTTGTCAGACCAGGGTGACTGTTTATACCAGTATGGGTCTTCTGTATCTGAAATGGGAAATTTTCAAATTTCTTTTGCTTCTGTGTGAAGAGGTGTATTGTTTATTTCTGTCTGTGGTGGGTAGCAAGACCCAAAGCCAGGATGCTGCCAAAGAGCCTCGTCAAATGGGCAGCATGTGCCCTGCAGGAGCTCTGATGAGAAGGAAGGCCGGTGAATCCCTGCGGATCTGTCTGTGCACTCAGGTGTGGTTTGGTTGGGGTTTGTGCTCTGGTTTACAGCTTCCTTATTCATGTTAAAGCCTTGGATGCTTCAGGGTGAGTGATGGGCCAGGAAAAGGCAGGGAGAAGCAGGGTGGGAGGTGGGAGCTGAGTGTGAGGAGCTTTGCCTTCATCTCCTCCTCCAGGTCTGAATTTGGGGACCTTTGGCCATAAACATCGCAACCTCTCCCAGCCTCTGATGGGCCACTTGGCATCCATCTGGAGAGCACAGGAGCCAGTCTGCAGCCTCCTTCAGCAGGTGTTCACAGCTGTCTCGTTCCGTGGGGACCATGCTGAGTCAGTACCCGCTTGTGGCCGTGGCTGGGCCAGCGCCGGTGCCTGGGGAAGATCGGCAGCACTCGGGCTCAGAGTGGGTGGTGTAAACCAGCCTTGGGAATTCAGACACACCGTAAAACCCTCTGGGCAATGCGAGGGAGAAGCTGGAGAAATGGGGGTTTGCTGTCACGGAGCCTCTCCCGCTCTCCCACCCCTCAGAGAGGAGGTGGGGGCGGAAAGCAGAGCGCGGCAGGGCCGGCAGGGCAGGTGGGCTCTGGCAGGAAAGCTCTGCCGTGGCCATGCAGAGGGCCCTGCTGGCCACAGCGCTGCGTGCTTCAGGTGACTCCTGCGGCACTTACCGGGGCTCTCCCTGCTGGGCAGTCCAGCTGCTGGGACAGTGACTTTCGGCTGGCCTGGAGGGTGTGGGGCTGTCGGTCCCTGAGGGGCTGTCGGTCCCTGAGGGGCGCTGCGGCCTCCCCATCCCCGGCCCAGAACGGGCTCACACCTGCCAGCGGTGGGGACAGAGCGTGTTACTTCACAAGGGTTACACACATATGCACAGGCATTTTAGGTAAATGTTACTTAGAAATGTTTTTTCCCTTTGTAGATCTCTTTGTGAAGGGATTGATGTTTCCAATTGTCAGGTTAGGGATAGCCATTAATGTTAAATATAGTAAAAAAGCAAGCATTCCCTACCAAAAAAGTAGAATACACCATTAAAAAAGCCCCAAACCATAAAATGCAAACCTTATGCACCAAACCTGGCTGCAGGATGTTGTGAATACAGAAGCTGATGATTTTATGCATCAGCAAATCTTAGCTAAGGATCCCAGAATAAATTTGGACAACATTTCTTTTAGCACCACAGTACCATCACAAAATGGGGGCCTGTGATCTGCATTCCCTGAGCATTAAAAGAAAACAGATTATTGCTCTGTGACTTACTGGTGGAGTTACTGCGAGTCCGCTGACATGCAGCCTTACCGTGCAGAAAACCATTCTGTGTTTCCAAAGGCCTTTCCTTTTGTGTTAGTGTTTCCTAAAACAAAACAAACAAAAACCCAACAAACAAAACCCATCACTATGCAAGAAGTTTCCAAAATGATCTATTCTTAAAAAACAAACTTAATCTAATTTGGCTTGCACAGATTTCATCTGAATAAAAGAAAAGAACAAAAACATGGAGCAAAATTCATTATTTAAAATAAATAGGACAATAAAGGGGAATGAAGCTCAAGTTTGCTACAAAAATGATTATAGGAAAGGAATAAGATAAAAATAGATTCAGGTCCTTAGACAGAATGAACAGAAAATTGATTGGACACCCCCAGTTGGTCCAGACAGATTAATGGTTTGATGGATGGGTAAAATATAGCCATGCTTGTCTAATTTCTGGAGATAGCTCATACTTTTCAGCTACTCAAGCACCTTAGGGAGGTGTTAAATTCAAGAGGAAAATTCTTAAGCCCATCTATGCAATGGTGGATAGGTGTCTTCTGATTCAGAGGGATGTTTTTTAGTCAAAATACAATCTGAGCATTTAAAAACCTCTGAGGTCCAAGTTTTAGAGTTTTCAAAAAAATCAGTACCTTCCAGTTGGAATCTCCTGTTGCAGAGCTGTATGTTCTAATCTAACTGGAGCTAGCCAAGACAAACAGTTTCAGAATCCTGATTTCTGGAGTTCTGTTTGGAGATAAGGAATGCTAATTTTCCTCTTGGACAGCAGGTGGGGGTATTGCCAAGTAACAAAATCCTACTTGGGCTTTCCAGTCCCATTCCCTTAGGGAACTCTTCAGAATAAGAAATACAGAGAAGATCCTTAAAGATTATTTTTTAAAATTATTTTGCAGTGTTACTCTTACCAAGTTAGCTATCTTGAAAAGTCTTTGCTATTAACCATAGAACCTAGATCCACAGAACTTTGTTACAGGACCTGCTCTCTGGCCTTCTGGGGTTCATGGATCTTACCTTAAATCCATTTCTGCCTTTCTTCAACTTCTAAATGGAAAATTAACGTTGGCAAGCTGTGTGTTTCTAAAAGAAGGGTTTGAACAGCCCTTGTGAGAGTTTCCCAGGGCCTCGGCCTCCCCATAGCCTCTGTTTATCTGGGAAAAAGCTATGCTGAAAGTCACCAGAGTCTGACCACAAGAGGTTTTGGGTTTTGTCAGGAAAGGCAAAACCATGTTCTTCAAACATCTGGTGAACAAATTCCCCTCCTCTCTAAAGTAAATGTCCAATCACCCCACAGTTGCTCATGCTTACTTTGTGAGCCATCATGATGTTCACCAGCCGTGTTGTTGGGGGAATGAGAGACTCAGCCTCCTTTCTGGACATGTCTTTCAGTGATTGTACATTTAGTGTTAACAGTTCATCCCTTGGGCTCAGGCAACCATCCCTTAAAGGAAAAAAACAACCATTTGTATATTATTTCACTCAGAATAATATGGCCCTGTTCCATGTGCTGCCTGTCTCTCTATCTGAGGAGCCAGCTGCAGTTCTCCCTTTGCCTTGACCTGCCATGAGGTGCCTGGATGTGTGACACACCTCATCCCCTGCTAGGATTTTTTCCCATTGCTGCTCTCTGTGCTTAGTCCTGGTGATCACTGGCTCCTGGTGATCACATAGCTAACATTCAGGCAAGATATACCTCCCTTCTCACCATCTTGCACTCAAAAATTGATTGAAGACTATATTTACTAACCCTGTCAGGAACCTTGGCTTGCATTGCTTTCCAGTGGCCTTGCGGGACTGATGCCACTCTAACAAGAGTGCCCTTTAACAAGGCATCACTGTTGGAAAACCTGATGTTATGTACACTCTCTCATTCTTCCAGGTTTTATTTCTTGGTGTAATTGAGCAGCATTAGATCCCTGAGTGGTGGAAGTTTTATTTTTCTAGAATCTTGACCTGTGTCTCCAACTGGAAGCGATGTAAGGAATGATTCCCAGACATCACTTCTTTTCTCTGGAGCTGAGCTGCAAGGCATAGCTTGTCACAGAAAGCTGGTTGTGCAAAGTCTGTGCAAAAAAATGTCTCTGTAATAACTTGCTAACTCCACATGTACTGTACCTGTTTGCTGGGCCTTCAGCAGGAACGTGGCTGCCTGTTAACCCTTTCCAGAAAGATGCACATCTTGGACTCCTAGAGAGCTTGATTCCTGAGCTGCTATTCCCTGGCGTTGAACACAGCCTGCAGATGCAGCTGTCCTGATCCAGAAGATGAAAGGTTGCATGAGCGAAAATGTACTGAAGCTGTTAAAAGTTACTTACACTTATTCTGAGCCCTTTTAAGAAAGGCTTAGAACCAGGTTGCCTCCCAGGAGAACAGGAGCCTTTAACACTGTCCATTTGAGAAAAAAATGATGGTAATAGAGAGTCAGTTTTTTACAAAATTTATTTTCCTTAGGACTTCAGTGGCTTCTGGTTATAAGAGGGAAGAATTATAATATAGTGTCCCTTTGCATGAGGGGAAGAGAACAGATAACAGACTTTTCATAGTAACTGAGTAAACTTTGCCTGTGCTAACTATTGTAAGAAAACACAAGGAGGAAAGTAAACACATGCCAGAAAATTAAATGCTCTGGAAAACAGAAGAGGTCTGAATGGAAAATAAGTAAAATAAGTGTATACAAAACACTAGAAGCTCCACCCCTGCTGCTGACTTGTTAAGTGGGGGCAGGGGACCAGAGAGGTCTGCAGCAGTGGAAAATTCTTTGTCCACTCCAGACTGGTTGAAGTTGCTGTAGTCTGCATTGCATCTGGAGGACTCATTGTAAGCATATCTTTAATGCAATTTTGAATCATTAACACAGGGCCATTCAGAAGGAGAAGTAGTGCTTTGAGACATTCATGGAAAGCAAAGTATGGAGCAACTAAATGCATGAAGCACAACACATTAGACTAGGAAATACACTCCTGTGGCACAAATATACCTAAAAATTCTAAAGAGATGAGGAAAGCTGGAAGGTTAGCACACGATTTCTTTTCCATTTGCTTAGTATTTCTCCTGTTTCAAGTATTCACTCATTCTGCTCCCAACTGAACCCACCTCCTCTGCCCTTGCCAGCCTCTCCATACTCCACAAAGTGAAGAGGGCTCTCAGTGTATCCTGGATCCAGGCTTGTTCCCAAGAGATTTGTATGACTGAGGTATAGATTTCTGAAGGGGAGGCAAATTTCATATGTTAGGACAGGCCACAAAACATAACAGTGGTCAACTGTCTGTGTTGCTCCCAGGGCCCCTGGTTGAAGTGGCATAAACTATTTCCAGTAATCTGTAGTCCTCTGAGAGCACAAGGAAAGCTGTGTGTAGCCATTTTCACCATCAGTATGGCTTCATTTCTGCCCTAGGCAGAGCTCATCCAGCCCTCAGGATGAGAATCATTGTGCTCCTTTACCACAAATCAATAGGGATCACATCATACCTGACTGACAGCAAACACAAAACGCAAATTTACAGCAATGTCAATAAAGGTCATTATCTTTCAGGCTAACTGCCAGAGGCTGGCTCCCATTCTGAAACCTGCCAGAGTAAATCTAAGGCTGTGAATGAATGAAATATTTAACTTGGGGCCCTGGGCTCACTGCAGGCTGTATTCAGTAGGTAATGGATAAGGGCTATACTTGTATTGACTGACTCGTTAACTCTGTGGGTTTGCTTACATTCCAGATTGTCTGCCTTTAACGAGGAGTGTCTGAATTTTACGAAGCCTTTTTTGTTCGTGAAGAATTCTTCTGGTGAGTAATATGTTGGTAAGGATATAAGCATAGACAGGATTCTATCTTAAACCAATTGGCTTGAACTCTAATATTAGTTTTGGAGCTTTTATATTTACTTTTCACCCAAGATAAATATCTTGGGAAATGCTTACTTGAAATCAGGATTACATTATGTTCTTTTTTTTTTTTTCTTTTGGTCTTTTGGCAGTTCTTTGAAGTCTTCGGCATGGTAACAAAATAAAGCTTAACATTCTGATGCCTTAAAATTTGAGATCTTGGGTAGCAAAAAATGTGAGTTCCCTTTTCTGTTTGTTTGCACTGTCCTTTATTTCAGGTATGATTATGACATTACAGGCCAGATTCTGCATACACAGAGCATCCATTAAAACTCACAGGGGTTTCTGTAAGGTAGTGTGCTCGTTGTAAAACATGAGAAATGTAACATAGATATTAAAGGTAGAAAATTCTTCTGCCATTTGGCTGAGTATTTCTGAGATGTCAGCTGCTTTTAGATTGGGACTGTTGTAAAAGAACAATGCTATTAAAAACTCAGTGTTTAAAAAAGTAATTTCCTTTATTTTTCCTGTAGTCAGAATTCAAGTTTGGACTTGCCAACATCTCTTCTTAGGAGTCCCTACTCTTGTGAAATACTCCCTTGAAAGATACACATATCTTCTCACAGACACTTGTCAGACACATGCACACAACTTTGCACAGCTGCTCTCCACACTTCATTTTCTTATTGATTTTCATTGGCCTTTTCAGACTGTCCCCAACTCAACTGTTCAACTGTTAAAAGCTGAGTCACACATTTCCTATAGCCTGTGTTTATAAATATTTTCATAATTAATTTTCTAAAAGTGATGTGCCTCTGCCCAGTGTCACAGGACATCACAGAGAGCAGTGGGTTTGGCTCTGAGGTTTTTCATTGCAGCACATGTAAGTCCTTTGGGGATAGGATAGTATTTTGTACAATGGGACACATGCCAGGCTGGAAATTCTGGGTTTATTGGGACATCCATGTGAAATGTCATCAAATCAAAATTGATATGAAGCTGCATGCACTTAGTCACTAGGACAGTAGAGGTTAAATCCCTTGTACACTGCAGAAAAAATCTTGGGAACAATTTTTGTTTAGATATGTAGTCATCTTACCCAGTTGGGACACATTTCAATTTTCTCTGTGTCTCAATCATTGCTGAAATTCATTTAGATGAATTACTTAAAGAAATAAAGTTTTTGTTGGTCTGTGGACATGTGGCAAATATCTGTATGTTGTCAACATCTGTATTTTTTGGGTCCTGGATATAGATCATTATATTCATATCCAAGTTATTGCAGCATGACAGAAAATTAATAAAAGCTGTTCTTCAGAAAAATAAATGTCTGACCAATTCTTGTGCCCACAGTCAATTTGCTTTGGCTTTAGTTCTTTAATTTTCTTTCCCTCTCTGATTTTTTTATGCATATAAATACTGCTGATGGTTCCAAGAGTAAAGACAATACTTATTTTTGCATCCTTCTCCTTTTTAAAGTGTCCTGTTTGTTTTGAAAGGTGATTTATAGTCTGAATACAGTGAGTAGTGAAAATTTGCTAAAAGAAGGTTGCCAGGTTTGATGTGGATCCTCGGTCAACCTTGTCTCTTCATTATTACAACATATATTTAAGCATATATTTGCTGCCAGTGAATAAACTCTCTGCTTTTTCACAAAGTGCTTCAAGACTCTGGGGAAACTCTTATCTGCATTGTAAGTTCCACTCAAAGCAAAATTTTTATTTAAACTGAATCTGCTTGGCTGAAAGATAAAAAATTAGAGTTTAAGAGCCTTCTTGAATTTTCCACAGGTGAGAATAGATTAACTTTTCTTGTGTTTAATTCTGGAAAAGTAATTTGTACATCCAGGCCAACTCTCTCTTCCTGTTCCTGTTTTTTTGTCATACAAAATGCAAAGCTTCTGAGGATGTTTTTTATCTGCCATTTAAAAGATTCTTTTTTCCTTCATGCTTTCATTAGACATTTCTAGCCTAGAGTCCCATCTCAAAACATCTAATTCCAGATGTTATTTAGAAATAAGGGTAACCATGGCATCTGTGGAAAACTGAAAAACTTTTGTGCACTCTTAAAGTAAGACACAGTAGTTAGATTGTCTGAATTGAAATGTTATACAAGGCTAGTTCAAGTAAGGTCTTGGACTCACTTACCCAGTGCATGACAATGAGCTAATTGACTGCTAGTTTAAAAAAAAAAAAAAGGAAAAAAATAAAAGGAAAAGAAATACATCTAACACCAGTACAATAATGTATTAAAATATTTAGCTTTTCTGGTCTTATGACTGTGAAATGGCTGGGATTTCCAAGAGAATACAGTCTTTGGGGATTTTCTTCAAGGAGCAATTTTTTTCTGCATCGGTTCTAACAGAGAAAGGGCCAGAATCTCTCTGGCATAAACTTACTCCACTGGCTCTGATGTACCTTACCCTTGGTCTTTTAAAAAATATAAGCCTTGGTCTTCTAAAAATATTTATAGTAGATGTAATTCATTTTCCCAGCAGCATATTCCCTTTGAAACCAGTAAAATGGCAGAAGCTGGAAAGCAAGGATGATTCAAGGAGCAGGGCACAAGACCAAGCTTTGCCCTAGATTGACAATTCAGCACATCAGATGTTACAGAAGAACCTTTCCACCCATCATCTGCCCTTAGGTCTGTTTTTCTGGGAGCCTTTGCTGGCCTGCATTTTGCAGCACACACTGTATTAATGGAACAGACCCTTTCCCAGCTTGCTCTGAGGATGACCTGGGTGATGTGCAGCAAAAGCAAGAAGGCTGTGAAGACAGAAAGAGAGAAGTATGAAAACTGAGGAGAACACATAAATATCTAAATAAATGCAGTCTCCTCTCTTGGCTTTGGTTTTCCATCCTGCCTGTGGGCTTGTGTTTGAGACATTACAGTCTGTTGCCATAGCACTTGTCCTGGTACCAAAGGGCCAGCTAACTGGTGTTTGCATCAAGGCAAGTTAATAAAAATATATTCTGTTGATGACCAAAGGAGAAAAATTACCTTTTTCCCATTCCCTCCTTCAAGCAGAGGGTCAAGGTTCAAAGGAAGAAAGGGTGCAGAAGTTTCTAGAACCAAGCAGAGCCATGCTGTCGGGTCAGCTTAGCTCCCATATTTATTTCATCAGAAGTCAGCCCTTTTCTATTCTAGTTTATTCTAGATGCTATTTCTACCCTCATACCAGCCCCACTGGTAGTTCTCAGTGCTTCCCAGGGTTCTGGGGTTGTTGGGAAGATGTAATGGAATGCTTCTTGGAGCAGAAGTCCTTCTTGCAGCTCTCACACTCAGCAGAGCCTGCTCTTCTCTGAAGGAGTTTATATCTTTTCCTGCCAAGTTCTCCAACAACTGGAGTGATTTCAGTCTGAGATCACTCCAGTTAAGTGATCAAAGACATCTTCCACAGTGTTTGCTGCATCTATGCTCCTGGTATCAGGTACTGCTTACCAGTTCTTTGGTTTCTGTTCTTTCAGGCTGTGTGAAAGTTTCTGATTTTGTGAGAAGCAAACTGTGCAGGAGATCTGCTTGTTTATACATAGACCAGCTGGCAGTCCACCAGACCAGACCAAGCCCACCTCATCTCAGGAAGGGTCTGAGAAAATGATGCCTGGGTAACCCAGGGCCTCTAGACACAGCAAGCAATAGTCAGTAGAAGTGAATAGTGGGTGATAGAAGCCAAATTAATTAAAAGACTCTTCATCTGCTCTCTATTAGAGAAGGAAAAAAATACCTCTGTTATTTAGTCCTGAAACACTCATTTGCTAATCATTTATTACTTATGGTGAATCCCCTGCAGTCAGTAGAATATGGCTCAGAGAGGCATGTAGGGTTTTCAAGAGAAGAAAAATGGAATTCGCATTTTGAGTACTGATGTTACATGTTCCCCCTTATTCTGGAGAAGAAATGCACAGGGAGCATTAAATCATGCAGCACTTTTAAGCATTCTTCTCTCCTTCCTTGTGACAGCAATATTAAGTTGTTCAGTTCTGTGGGAGTTATTAACACCTTCAGAGTCACGCTCAGGGCTGGAGGTGCTGGAGGTGCTGGAAAGCAGAAGAATAGTGGAATATCCTCAAGAACACCACAGAAAGAATGGAATCGATTTTCTTGAACAAAGACAAGGATTCTTCAGCTCTGAGTCACACATCATGAATTTCTGAAGTGTCACATTTAAATGGAGAAAGAATTACACTGGGACATGAAAAAATTCTTGTTTGACTTCTTATTGAGAGAAGGCTTAAGCTTTGTAAGATATGTGGTACAGGAAGATTGTTCTGACAGGCTTGTGCCATATGGAAGGTAGAGATCATTGCCGTTATACTCTAGGGGGAAAGCCTCAGCAGCAGCAGCACAGGACAGGGTTGGTATGGCTGTTACTAATGTTCATCCTACTTAGCATGCCAAGATAAGAAAGGTATGGAAGATTAGCAAGTAGAATTTGATGAGGTTTAGATTGTTATGAGAGCTCTAGAGTGAGAATTTAATGGTACTCATAGTCTACAGCAGCACTAAGCACCCAAATGCTGCTGTGAGGGTCTGAGCTGCTGCCTAATTTATGTCAGCATCTGACACATATTCTTCAGTGACACTGATGCTTCAGCCTAAAAGTGGATTTATATCCTTAGCAGTTCTATTTTATATGTGCAAAGGCATTGTGGGACTTACTCCGTTCCCCAGATCCCTATTTTAGCTGCTTCCCGACTATAAAAGCAAATGATCTAAACTTACAGTCTGCAGTAAGATAATGAGTAGTTGCATATGGATATGGATCACAGCAGTTACTGGAGCCCTGCACACTTAGGAAATGTGCAAGGAAATAGACTGTGGCAGCTGACACACACCAAAGTGCTTCAACTTTTGAAGAGAAGATGGGGGAGTGCACAGGGGCCAGCTCCTTCTTCCCTCACAGAGACATCAGCAGGGTACATATGGACTGTTTCCAAAAAAGTTGTCAAGGTTTTGCAGGGAACTTGAGTGAGTTTTGGGACTTGGGTCTTGTTTTCTGTCAGAATGCAATAGCAAGTTGGTTTGGTTTTGTCTTCCTGCTGGGACTTTGCCAAGGGTGGAAACACCTTGCATCCATCCTGCTGTGCTCTTAACAATGCTGGGCATGCTGTGGTCATTATCAAGGGTAACGGGAGATTCTGATTTTCAGTGACACTTGTGCCACTGTGTGTTTAGACATATATGTCTATTTTTAGCCAATATTCTATTTTACATAAAATAAAAGAGAATATACAAGAAAAACTATGTGAAAGAATCAGTTCTTTCACATAAGCACATATTTGCAGATAAAAGGCATGTAAAAAAGGAAGTGCCAGGATGACACTTGCAGTGAGGTCTCTTTTACACATCACAGCAACAGGTAGAGAGAAAGTGGAGAAATTAGGCTGCTCTACTGAAAGAACTTCCTAAAGCCATCTAAAATATATTGCTCAGACTGAAAAATTGTTCAGATTGTTAGGGTTTCACATAGCTGATGAAAGAATAGCATTGTAATACAAGGCTCTTAGACTTTTCACATCTCTAGGAAATGTGACATCTCTGATAATTTTAGAGCCATCACTACCTTCTTCCTGAATCAAAGGGAAAGAGCATCTGCCTAGTGCATCTCCTGTGTCTGACACAGTATTAATATAATTCATGCTTGCATGTCTTGTGAAATATCATGGTATCACACTGCAAGTGTGCTTTGCTACAGCGACAGGTTTATATTTTGAGCTGAAGGGTCTCTTGCAGATAGAATACAGCAGCTGTACTTGTCTGAACACTGACAGTGGCCTAGAGGCACTGATTTCAGCAGATTGTGCACCAGCAGAACACAACAGCACAGCAGGGAAGCCGGTATATTTTTAAAAGGCTCTGCCTTTTGTGCAGAGCCTGAATACTGCAGGCTCATAGGCTCTGAAAAAGCCAAGTAGAACCCTAAGTTCCTGAGAAATATTAATTAATCCATTTAGGAACTACTGCAGTGGGAAGCATTACAATACACAGCACGAGTTGCCTACCTTGGTGAGGAACTTTCTTCTCGTGTTGTTGCAGTTCTCATTTGCTGCAGCTTTGGACTGGAGAATGCTGGTGACCACACGTGGAGGATCAGGTGGGCTGTCCTCTGCCTCTGATGTGCATGGCATCTGTGTTCTGGGACAGCAGTCAAAATCCTCTTGACCCCAGCTGGTAGAGATCTCAAAGGGATCAGGGCATTTCTCGTCGGGACTTGACCCATCATCACTGGTTTTGGCATTGCAGAGTATAAGCGATCTTGAAATGGAGCGAAACTTTCTTGACTTCCTGTTCCCAGTACTGTTCTTTTGATCCATCTTCAGAGAGCTGCTGCTCTTTTTTCTATCATTCTCCCATTTATGTGGCATGATACTTTCAATAATTTTCTCTGCTTCTGTGGTGCTAAATATCCTCCAGGAAAGGAAATATAAAAGTAAGTTGTAATATACCCCACTTTCTCCCACTTAATAACCTACGCTACTGGAAAGCCCTAATGAATAAATCAAATCAACAGAGCCTTTCAGTCTGAGAACAGCCACGTGATAGCTCATGACTTGCTAATTCTACTTCTGTGCAGAGCTCTCCTAGATCCTCCTTCACCTTTTCATTCTCTTGCCATGTTACCCAAGCAGAGTGGAGTGCTTTTAATAAATGTTTGTGGTGTTACAATTGTCTGCTTGCTTTGGGCATCTGCTGAATTTGCATGTTGAAATCCCAAATTGAAAAGCAAGATACTTTAAAAGCATTATTCTATCCTCCTAATATTATTTGGAAAGAAGAAGCTCCTTCTGAAGTTTGATTCATGTAAACCACTATAATTCAAAGAAGATTAATCAAATTGTCAACTCTAAGTTCTCTGCCTGGCACATCCACGTTGTAAGTGGTTTAGCAAAAGTAGATCTCAGCCTTGAGAGAGTAAGGAATGTCAGTCTGCCATAAAACTTCCACCTTTGCAAACCAGAACTCACTTAAGACTGCATTTAAGAGTTACGGAGAGATCCAGTGAAGCACTTAAGAAGCGAATATCTGATTAGGGATTGAATTCTATGAAGGAATACAGCCCCAGTAAATCAATCAAAAAGTGTCATATTACAGAAATGGTTTCTTTCAGCACATGATTCAGCATATAAAATTAAGATAAATTGGAAAACAAAATATACAATCAAAATATAGCAAAATTCAGAGCTTTTGTAAAATGAGTAATGTAATGAGCATTTTAAGATAACAAAGGGGAGCCATTAAAACTCCCTCAGAAAAAGCTTTCTAGAAATGCTTTGGTAGTATGTGTCAAAGTTTGTGACAAACTTGTGTTTGTGTAAACACAAACAGTGATGAAAATTCAACAAGAGAACATCTAATTTAATTACTTTGACTCTCTCACCTAAGTTTTATCATCATATTTACTACACAAACATTTCTATTCTCCTCACAGAACCTAGCAGATACCAAAGTTGCCATTCTAGAAAAAATACCAATTGAAACTTAAGTATTTGCATAAATAATTTGTAGGTTTTATACAAAAAACTGAAAATCAATGTAATTTGAAAAGCACTTCTAAGGTATCCTGTTGCAAGAAAAAGTTTGTCCGTTGTGCTCTAAACTGAGTTGTGTTTGGTTTGGGGTTTTGTTTTTTCCCCTGATTCTGTGCAGAATTGAGTAGATATATATGCACTTTGTACCTGAAGTTCCATTGGTAATACAGAAAGGAAGAAGGAGATTTTTTAAAGGCTCCTTTCAGCCATGACAATAAACACAGGCCTACAAACTCAGACCAAGCCAGAATCCGATAATAAATCCAAGTCAGCATTGTAATAAAGCTGCAGGATTATTTTTCTTGGGTTTGTTTTTGTTGTTTTTTTTTCTTGTACAATTAGACAGGAAAAACCAAAGCAAATGATAAACACTATGCCACTGAGCACCTGCCTAAAGGAACATTTCTGGAGAAATCTGCAGTTCAGCATGAATCTGAATTTGCTTGAAATTGTAAATTAAAACAATTTTCAGGTGCAGCAGAAATGTCCCAGGGAGAAGGATGTTTATTTGTGCAGTCTTTTCTGGTATTTTTGATAGGTAATATTTCTACAGCTTTCCATCATAACTTGTGTTCTATCACACCAGTCCTGTTATTCTCTACTCCCTTATGTCTCTTTTTCCAAAAGAAAATCTCTAACACTTCAGAAACTCATGCCCTCATTATTGGAACTCCCGAGGTTTCCTAGCAAGACACTGTTTCAGGGCAAAGGTTGAAAGTAGCCAGAATATGTCAAGATCCCCAAAGCTGGTGTGCTTTCTGCCCCTCTCTGTGTGTCTTTGGGATCCTCTCTACTCCTGTGGGAGTCTGACCCTGCTGGATTGGAACAGGGGAATGGAAGTCACTGGGCTCCCAGCCTCCCTGACACTGGCATGAGGAAAGCTTTCAGGGTCAAACTGGACTTGCATATTCCCCATTCCCTTCAATTCACAAGACATTCTACTTTTTTTTTTTTTTTTCAGAGTAGCCTCTCTTATAAATGACGAGTTTGGTGTGATTGAGAACTGCCCAGCAGCACAGCCACGCTCTCTTCCTGTGACACAGAGCACATAAATGTAAGGTTTGGAGATGTTGTTTGTGACTTTTAAAAAATGCACTTTTTAATGTTTTGATAAACCTAAAGCTTTAGTCTACCATCATATACATGAACAAAATTTTTGAACTCAGAAATCCCTGTTAGCATCTCCACCATTAGGAAATTATTCTTGTTAAAGCCTATTATGTGTTTTCTTTATGTTTAAATGAAGGCAAAAATGCAATCTGGCCCATTAGACCAGAATGTGGAATTGAAAAAGGATGGCTGGGGTGAAGGTAATTTCTGCAAGTCTGTACACTCAGCACCTGGGTAGGAAGCAACAGAGCTGGAGGTGAGTGGAGTGTGCATCACTTGAAAATCTGCCACAGGGATCAGTGCTCCTTCTGTGATACTGGCCATTGCTATTAGACACTGGTAACAACATCACAAATGTACCCAAGCTGCACAATCAGACCTAAACAATCCTGCCTATGTGGGGAAACTAAAAGAAAGAACACTTTTCATTCAAGTATTTCAATTTTGTACAAACATTAAGCACATTCTTACTTTTCTCAAAGAGGAAGAATTTAAAATGAGCTATTAAGAATTTGGATAAGCAGAGGACTTGATAGCGTAATTGTCAGAATGCAGCTCTTTACACACTGGCATGCTAGAATGAAATCCTTTCTTGCTCTGCCTGAAGCTGTTGAGCTTAAGAAGGGAGAACTGCCATCAGTACTAAATGTCCAAGAAGTGCCTCTCTGGCTCTGTTAACATCTGGGATGCAGGGATGCATAGAAGCACCTGTTAAAACAGTGAAGGAAACACGGGTCTAAGTGCATTCTGCTTTCCCATCCCCCTGTAATGCTCCTGAGGAATTTTATCTTATGCAGAGAGAACTCTTTGCCTTGCTTCATCAGCTGTTTCCTCCTCCCCAGCCCCCATGAGAGATCCATCCACTCAAAGACCAAGTTTAACCCTGAATGACTTACCTAATCTCACAGGGAGAGAGAGGCTGATGTGAAACTGAACCCGCTAGACCTGAAGACTTCCAGTTAAATACTTGCTCTTGCTATATAGTATATATAAGTATTAGATCACAAGTCCTAACTAAGGCAACATTCTTTCCACAGCTGCTGATTCAGGGTTGCATAAGTGACAGAAATATAAGAGGCACCAAAAACATAATCTATAAGTTTTCCAATAAAAATATCCAGAAATGTTATTTTACACAGCCTGCAATATCACAAGTGCCAGAGAAGCTTTATGATTCATTGCCATCTTCCACCAAATTTAATTTGAGATATTGATGGCATGAACAATTACTTCAAAGTCAATTCTTCAAACCATTCATCTTTTTCTCCAGTGCACTCACTGCTTGTCATTTTCTTCTGCCATTCTTATACCTCCAGCTTGCCTGATGGAAGCTGTCTGTGGTTTGTAATACAAACCAAATGTTCCTTCTCTGTTTCTTTTTTTTTTTCCCCAAGCTTTATTTTTCCAGCTTTAAATCTTAAAAGCCCAAACTCAGACTGTCTTCTGCAAACAAAATACATGATCTGAGCTGTGGCCATTTGGTTCGAATTTTTGGTTGGATATTAAACCAAGCATTTACAAGATACAAATAATCTGGTGTAGCTCCCAGATTGAATGTGAATGCTCTGTTAGTAACCAGGCAGTAGGAAAGACAGGACTTTACTAGCAAAAACAATATGAGTTTTACATTAACAAGTGCTAGCAGCATCCTCTTTTAATCTAGATCTTGCATCTTAATTTAATCTAAATCTTGTGATCTTACTCAGATTCATTACTGAGCAGTACTATTAGCACTGAACTATTGCAGATGTCTAGGGTTTCCCCACAGTAGTAAGAGCTAAAGGTTTTGAAGTTTTCTAATAGAGAGTAAGAAACTCTCAAAGAGTTGAAATAAAAAATTATAATTAAAAAAACCCTAATGGTAAAATAAAAATTCAAAAGGAGGAACTTACAACAACGAGGCAGACAAACCTGACTCCTGCAGAAGGCTGTTCTTCTTCATAGGCCTGGCAAAAAAAGACAGAGTGAATAATTGAAAACACACTCTCCTGGTGCCACGTGACTCAGTTTCAGTAATTCTGCTCAGTACATTGGAACGGAGCTATTGTTTCCTAATTGAAGAAAATGTCAGCAAGGCTAGATAAACAAAAGCAATGGGATGCAGCATTGGGGAGACTGTTTCCAGCAGGCTCCCAGCTACCCAGAGATGGCAGGACCATTTAAGGAGTTTGTCATTTGTTTTCACCCATCACTCTCTGGTCCAAGGGCTGATGGGGTTCAGGCATGTTAAACCCACCTGAGGGGAGCTGGGGCAACAGCAGAGTCTGTGCCAATCCAATGAAGGTTTTCTGTTGGAGGCTGAGATGCCAGGCATGTTTCTTGTATTTTTCATCTGATATTTTAACATTAGGCTAGTAAGAGTGTCCTAGACAAATTCTACTCCAGGAGCAAAACATAATAGGTGCCACTTTTGAATGCCAGACCCCTGTATGGTTCACCATGAACACAATCTCTTTAACCTACCGGTTCTTAAATACTTTCCCCTAGGGGAAGACTAGGGGAAACTGGGGAGACTGGGCTAACTGCAACTTTGTGATCCCACCTGATCAAGGACTCAGAAAATTGTTGGTTTATCACGCAGATCATGTCAATCCCCACCTGTTTATCCTCAGTTGTGCTCAGATAGATGGATAACAATCTTGCTGCAGAAAGCTGTTTGCTCTCAATGAATTTGTGTGGTAAGATTTATAAGGGTGTTTGTTAATTTGAAAAAAATACATAAAAGAAAACATTGCATCTGAAACAATTAATGTTAGTTTATTGAAATAGTCAGGCCTCTTTAGGGTGTTCTCACAAACCATAAATCTCATGCTTTTCAGGAAAATGTAAGCATAAACCTGGCCCTGTCTGGTCATGGAAATGGTCAACATGAGAGTGCTTAGACACCTGATGCCCTCTGTGTTCTGTGTCTTGAAGGTTCTATCTTTTTCTATTGCTCTGTCATTAACCTTGCAAAAGAGGGAGAGGAATTTTAGAAGGGGCAAAATATTGCACAGATAGGGGCTCATTTTAGTGATCCTATGGCTTCTAGGTAAAGCATGGACTGTAAAGACAAACATCTGTCCCATGAGAATGACTCCCATCCTGGGAGAGAAGAGAAAATGAAATCTGTGCTCTGTACAGTGTCTACAGGAGTCCTGGAAAACTCTGTCCTTGATAATACAATTGTGGCATTCTGTATTTTAAACATTTATCAAGAAAATTTAACATTATTTTCCTAACATCTAAACTTTTGGGATAATTATTCTCCAAAGGAAATCTTCTCTAAAGGACACAGTTTCTACCTGACTCACTGGTTAACAAATTACATGGAACATTACCCAACTCTTTCAGAAGAACCAAGCCTTGGCACTAAGTACTGATCAATAATTATGAGGTAACTTTCCTGGAAAGAAGGACACCTATGGAGCTGACTTTGTATTTTGGGAAAGAGTTTGTCACTATTTGAAGAGAGAGAACAGTGGCCTTGTACATAAAATGGGGTTTTGTATGTAGTGCTAGTACTGTAAAAAAGAAATGGAAGCAAAGCCATACAGACTGTTTACCACTTCACTGTCTTTCACTACAACACACATATGTTTTTGTTTAGCAATAGAGAACTCATTCATACAAAATATCAACCATCCCTGAGTTCTGATCCAAGATGATTGAGCTGGAAGCTCAAAAACATTGGAAAGCTTGCTTTATTTCTTCCCATTGTCACATGCTTTTGCACTTCCTGACTAGGGGCTGAATAATGTCGTGCCTACGCCACTGAGAGTTTTGTTCATTCCAAGTCTGGACCTCTGCCAGGACCAGCAGCAGAAACATAAATATCACAAGGAGGGGCTGTTTTTTCATGTTGCTTTACTCCAACCTTTTGCAGTTTTTTCCATCTCCTCTGTACAGTAATTGTTCAGTGCCCAGTGGTGAACAGAAAAGCAGGTTTTTAGAAGCCATGAGGAAAAGGAGAAAGAGAGAGAACCTCTACTGTGCCTGCCTTGTTGCATTAATGGTATGCATTGATATTGGATACTGTGGTCAATCTTTATTACTTATCTCAAAGGTATTGTAGCAGGAAAAGGGCAATGAACACTGATCAGAGGCTGGAATTTGTATTAAAAGATTGAAATTATGTGGACTCTCCTATGCAGAAAGGAACTGCATTGATAAAAGTTTGTGAGATAATAGGAAATATGAGGCAAATGAGTGTGGTTTCCTTACTTCCTTCTCATGTGAGGGACAACAAAAGAATGCAGTAAAATAAAGAGTGTTCAAACAAATAAAAGGAAATACTTAAAATATAAAGCATAGTGAACGTGTGGAACAAGAAGGCAGCAGAAATTATGAGCACTTTGAAGGTAGCTGTTTGATTTCAATCATACAGAGATTTCACCTCAAGAGGTGAATTGATGAAAATATATATCTGTAGATGAAGGGAATAACATGCAGAGGGGGAAGCAACTCCTTCTCCAGAATGAAAGTCAAACAATGCAGTTTACAGATAGAGTGATACTCCTGCCATGGGATAGTTACCATAAAATGGAGTAACTCTTCAGATGTCTGCAGTTAGTGTCTATTGGCAGTGGGTAAAAGAAAGAGAAGAGCTGCTGAATTTAATAATTATGGCAATTCTTCTCTTTGAAGAGTGACTAAAATCAGGATGTGTCTGGAACTATAACAGATACAGGAGCTGATCCCTCTTTTCTCCAAATTATTTTCCATATACACAGGTTTGGGTTCTAGAGGACAAATATGCAGACTATTCACTACTAAATATTTTTCCTGTTGCTACTGGTGATAACCTTTTCCAAGAAGGAATGTATAAATTTAAACAAGTACTGGGCAAAGCAGATGTAGGTAATGATGGAACAGCTTCAGTCCTGATCTCCACCCAGCCCCAAATACTGTTTGTCTTAATATGAAAGAAAGCCAATAGTTTGGAGTGTTCAAATTTTTGTCCTA